GCAGAGGAGAGCCGTGTGGCAGCCGTGCTTTGACACAAATGGGCCATCTCGATCATAGATAAATTACTATAGGCTCGACCGGCGTGATACCACGGCCTCACAGTAAACCAGTGTTACGCAATGCTTTTCACCGAGTCAATGAGGTTGCCGGAACTCTTTGTAAGTGATCCATTTCATTTGAATACTGTAAAAAGGATTGTAAACTAGTACGTTATGAATCAAATCTAACTCAAAATGTAATAACGTTACAATATTTTTCTACAATTGAAAGACTTTATATTTTAGTAATGTTATATCAATAATTCAAATCTTCAAGCCGGGTTTCAGGCTTTTTCTATTAATATATATAGTTTTAAAAGCAGTGATCTTTCGCGCACTGCAGTTTTTGATGACTAGATGGCGTTGCAGACACAATGTTGCCAACACTATGAACAGTAATAATAAATATTAAATAAATAAAACCACATAGTTCTAAGAATACAGAATATGACATGGCTTACTTGTGTATCAGAGCACATAACGGAAAAATCTTTAGACAAATTATTATCCTTGTGATTATGAACTCAATGGATTGCCAATGACTTTTTACAATTTTATGGCCGCCAAAGTATGTAAACTACCGTTTATTACATAACGGCCAATTTTGCTTCTCAAGTGAAACGTAAAAATTCTTTCGAAAGCAACAAAAATATAAAACGGCCCTGATTATAATAACATCTATAGATAGAATTTATTTCAACTTTGGGGAAAGTTATAGGATAGTTATCTTGACGGATGGTCGTAAAAGAAGTAGATGAAACAACTATTGGGTCGCATTAGACAGGCTTTTACTTTCTGTATTTTGGCAAATATATAATCAAAATATTATTACGATATTTTATTTGTTTAAAACTTTATGCACTTTCTGATTAGGGCGGCTTAATGCCCTGGGCATTCTAATCTAGTCAACCTTTGGGTAGTGTAGAAATCTTGTAAAGAAGGTGAACAGAAGTAATGTAACCAATCAAAATATACACAGTTGACATACATACAACACATAATAAATTTACATATATACACATACATATATATAAACTATGAATACCAGATTATAAGGTGTACATATAGATATTTTACTCTTAGATCGTTTGTTTGTCTAGATCTTGTACAGCGACATCACAGCTGACGCACAGCGACTGTGCAAAGAAACTTAGTTGCTAGGAATTGTACACTTTTTCCGTCACTTCCACAGCTTTAGTAGTCTTATCTAGACACATCAATGATCTAAGCTTTACTTGTAAGGCAGTTTGAAACTTTAATTTAATACCATAATGATTACAAAAAAAATTAGACTATTTCAAACATTTTTATTACAAAGACAGTCTCGGCTTACAAAAGTTTATGTGAAATTTCCGTGGCAGTTACAGCATGGCCCTGTCGGACAACAGCAACATCCCTGCACACAAGAAGGACCACATTGGCACCTTGGAGGATCACATCCACCTGGACATCTTGCAAACGTTCCAATAGCAAAGTCCCGGTAGCATCCGTGCTGATAAGGCATTTTCGACTTTATATTTTTAATAGTTTTCTCAAGTTTGATATTTTTTTGTAATTTTATGTACTTTTTATTTGCCTCGACTGAGTTAAAATGAGCTGTCAATGTTGATTTTCTTTTTTTTACTTCTTTTTATTAGGTACGCATTGTTATTAAAGTGCAAAGAGGTTCTTAATTCGAGTTAGATTAAACTTTATTTGTTTAATCCTTTAGAATAAACAGGCACGTATAAACGGACATACGAACTTTTAAGTTAAAACACGCTTTAAGGAACAGAAAATCTTATTGAATTAAAAATAACCTTTGGAGGATGATCCGATGGGTAGCCGTTAAACATATAAAGTGGTCGCCATTTAAATGATTATTGTAAGTATATATGTGTGAAAACGTCTATATTACATATGAAATGTATATTTTATTTAAATGCTGATATTAAATGGGAATATTAAGGAATTACCCTACACACGACATTACGTGGGAGTATTATGTGAAACAATCTACAAGATGTGGTCGTATTTTAGTTAGTTAGTTATTATTTTAGTTAGCTATCAGAACCTGACGTCAGAGCTAACAGTTTAAGTAAACTCCACTAACACTTTCAATTAAAATTACGATCTAGCCTTTTCGTTAACGATTATGACGTTATAAGTAATGAAAATTATTTAAACCATTTTAAACTAATTTTAGATATGGAGGTTTATGATATTATACTCTGATTAATATTAAAGATTTTTATACATACTAAGTAAGCCTGTTGGCTACTAGCAAAGCCGTGGCTTTGTTTTAGTAAAAAAATAAAAGTTCGATGCATAGAACCATAGTTTTAGAAAGTTATTTGTAAGTAACGAATCTACAGAACATAAGTTTAGGTTTCCGAAAATTTACTGAGCCTCCAAAAACGTAATGTACACCTGAAAAAGCTGCCTGCAGCGATAGTTACTTTTGTCTCTACGAGTATTTGTTGTAAAGCTTTATACTTTCCAATTAAACCAATTCAACAATTAAAATTGAACAAGAAGGAAATTAGGTAACAAAATAGGAAACATCTACCTTGTTGAACATATCATTTTAATTAAAAACTACAGGAAAGATCATAAATTTGTTTATATTTAAATCACATTTATCACCTAAACCGAAGCGGCGCGAATTTCTTAGTAATTTAGTCGCAATGGGTCGAGCCGCAGTAAGTTTTTTGCGTAATAGCAATTTTATTTAAACAATAATTTACTTATTACTGAAACACTTCTTTAAGTATCAGAATTCAGTGTAAGAAAGAAATAGGTAAAGAAGTTTGAGGCGGTGGGATCAATTTGAAAGCTACACGGCAGCACACGGATTTCAGAGACTGTTACTCGTAAAATGATATGGTTTAGCCTTGAACTCCAGAAAGTTGCAAAATGCAGAAACTGTTAGGCTTCAGTGCGACGATAATAACTTCTTACAGCTAAATTACAGATATCACGCAAATCGCTCGTTTACTATGTATAATAGCAGTCTGTTACACAAACCACTACGCCATCCGTTCGTCTAACCGTTTATAAAACATATTAATATATTTTGAACATAAAAATTAATGGCATACCTGTACAAAACGTTTGCAATTCTTATGTTGGCAAAATTCTCTGAATTAATAACGCAAGAAATGGTTTTCGCTTAAGTTAATTAAAAGTATAATTATCTAACTAATTAATTAATTAGTGGAGTGTAAAATTAGGTAGGTAATTCAATATCAATGATTAAACCAGTTAATTAAATTTCTTATACACCTTAGGTTTGTATATTGCGAATGGATAGTTTTTGTATGGATTCTCCATATATTTTGACGGGCCTGCTGGTCTAGTGCAGAGATTCTCAAAGTGGTCGATATCGACCCCTTCGGTTCGAAATCGGTTTCCCAAGGGTCGACATAAACGAAAACTGATTTTCAGACATCATCGACCCCTATAAATTAAATCAAGTTCTTATTTGAAACTTGTTATAAGAATGACTAATATTTTAGTAGAAAGTGTAATAGGGAATATGCATGTATTTTTTTTTATTTTTTTAAACGATTCTACTAGTTATTACATTACCAAAAATAAATATAACACATCCGAAATATAAACCGTTAAGCAAAAAAAAAAATATTAAAATCACTATCATTTTGGGGCAATTTGAACACGTCCATTTTGGCGCGCTTTTTTTGTGACGTCAGATTACATTTTCAGACGAATTCGATGTCAACAACGGAGTGAAGTTCACAAAGTTTGTGAAAATTAAAAAAGTGAGTGATAAAAATTAACTTATTACCATGGAAAAGCCAATAAAAACTTATTATAAATATTGTGCCGTTCCTTTGTGTCCAAATAATATCAAACTGCACCTGACAAAGTATATTCAGTCATTGTGTTGAGTCTTTCTACACGGGAATTTAATAATTTAACACTGAAAACGTATTAGTTATTAACTTAAATTAAACAAATAATCACCAGAAACCAAATATTACAAATACACAGAACTTGTTGACACTCTTGACAGTGTAGGCTGACGTCACGTTTTATTCAACCAATAGCGTTGCGTTTTAGAAATTTGCGAGGGAATCTTAAAAAAGCCAATTTTTGATGATTAAATTTCACTATTAAATTATAATAAATTTCAAAAATAATTGTATGGGTATCTTTTTTTAGCAATAAAAATTACAAATAAAAATATTTTGTCCATTTTGGTGTCACGTGCATATTCCCTATTGTAAAAAACTCAACAAATCTATCTATCTATAAAAACAAATTTATCTATGGGGGTCTGAGGTATCAGTTTATTTTAGAAAAGGAGTCTCTTCCCCTAAATAGTTTAGGAATGTGGTTAGTGACCCTGACTGCTAAGCCGGAGGTCGTGGGTTTGATTCCCACCTAGGACAAATATTTGGACACATTTTATTTGAATATTCTGACGAGTATTTGTTTAAATTTCGACGATAAAACAATTTACCAAAATCTTAAAGAAATCAGATACACTTTGATAAAAATAAATTACTTATTACAATCCGGTTTCCGTGCCACGTACTAAGCCCAATCGATCTAATCCAAACCATCCAGAAACCCACCGGATGTAGCGCCACCTACCGGTTTCAAACGGAAACTAACAAAGATTTGAGTGTAGAAAACACAAAACAAAACTACTGAAAGGTTTAGGTGGAGTTTAATAATATACACACGTACCCAAAAAAAATATTGTATAAAGATTATAATAACGATTTAATACGTAGGTACTGATATGGTGAACTGCTTTCTATTTCTTGTTCGAGAAGTTACTCCTAGAAGCTTACTAGCTGGAAATAAAAGTAAAAACACTTCGAATTTCAAATTCACGTCGTACCGCTGATTGCTATTACATCAAAATTCTCAATGTAGTCTGGCTGACACTATAGTAAATTTTTGGTTACAATATTAATAAACTAAAAAATAGAACATCATGCCTGTTTACTATGGAGGATATGTCGGAGGTGCCCACAGTGGTGGATACTGCCTCTATTCTAAGGGTTGTAGCCCTACTACCGGAGGATGCGGACCTGGATGTATCTTACCAGGTCCTTGCTGCGGTTTATCGTGCTAATCCCCAGGTAAGCTGACGAAATTACTCCATAACTATTACCTTCAACAGACCAGATGTTGTTGATGGCAGTTATGGCTGACACCAGCTTTAGATTATTAATTAATGTCTTTGACGCATTACAAAATAACTCAAATAAACCAGCTAACTTTTATACTGGTGTGCGTGTAAATCGAGTGTCTATAGTAACAGCGAAACACAACTGACACGCAGTGATAGCAGAAAGAAACTTAGTGGCCAACTGTTGGACACGTATTTTTTCGACGGTTTCATAGCTTTGACTTATATATTATTATACGCCCCCGTGTAGAAAACTCATCCTTAATATTGTATAATAACATAATATGCAAAAGAAAGTTTTATACGCAAAAAAAGAGAGAAGAAAAGTTTACAAGGAATCTCGCAAAATGAAAGTTTTGTTTCGGGGGTCCCTGAATTGCATACATACATTCACGCCTTTTGTTGTGCCTCAAAGTGTATACAGAGGCGAATTTAACGCCAACATTTTGCTAACTAGAATTTTAGTTCCACTTACGTAATTTGGGGGCGTGCCAATTGCCGTCAACCGGGCCGCGTCTCTGAATCTGAATTGATTTGCAAAGTATATTAACGCTAGTAAACAAGATCGTAGAAAGGATTTGTGGACTAGAGCAAACATGGAAGTAAAGAATATTCCAATTAATTGTACTTTAGGAAGTATGCAAGGGTTCTGGCTTAAACTACTCACTTGAAGAGTTTTTCAATCAGTCAAGACCACGAGGTCATTGGTCATGTAACATTGAGAAACGTGACGTCATTGCATGCAGTACAGTCATACGTAAGTATTAATCGTGCTCAAAAGAAAATACTACTATTTTTTTCTGTTTCAGAGTGGAGACACCCTATCTGATACCCTCATAATGAAGAACAATATGCAGATTTTGACGTCTTTTTTTGTGTTCTCGCTACTAATGTGTGTGGCTCTCTACAGTTTCCTAATCGAATTAAAATAGATTGTGAAATAAAGTAAATTGTAAATAACATACATGTTTATTTGATTTACATAGGTAAATCTGAGGACCGATATTAATGAGCTCAGCTCATTACAGTTTAGCCCTGCGTCTAGTGTTACCGAGTTTGCTAAATCTAATGACAATATAGACGGGGAAGATGCAACTTTGGCTTATTTATTTATTTATATAGGACAACTTACAAAACATACACTAATATGTACATAATTTACAAACATGTTTTACAAATATTTTCTGAGTGTTGTCTTACTTACAAGTTGCCACGGCATGGTAAGGGACAGTTGCATCTAAGATAATTCAATATCAATGATGGCTTACGAAAATAAAGTCGCAGCTGTAATATAATCAGTCAGGTACAGTAGAAAGAAATTACACTAGGTACTTTTTTTACCATAAGTTAGATAAAACAACTTGCCAAATTATTAAATTTCAAAAAACCACCACCAGAATGGCGTCAGTCAATTATTATGGACACTGGAGCTCTTTGATTCTGTATACCCGTAACTCTGACCAACCGCTTCTGTTATCTGATAGTCCACCTGAGAGTGATGATACAGTTCGCCGCGATTATCTTAAATTATATATTAAATTATATATTAAATTATAATATATTAAATTATATTAAATGACTTAAGTTACCAACCAGTTCACACCAAGGCCACATCTAGCTAATTTCACGATATTGGCCAAGTCTTATATTCGTCAAATCGTCAAATTTGACATTGGTCAAATCGGTAGTTCGTCAAATCGTCTATTTGTCCAATTATGAAATTTGCCAAATAAGCTATTGATCAAGTAATTTAAGTGTACAATCACATTTGACTAATAATATCAGACTTGACCTATGTCGACCCTGTTTTATCTGTGTCGACCAATGTCAACCCCATCTAGCAAAGGTGTCACCGCAATATTGTCAAATCTTTGCTTTATGCAAATTATTTTCTTTTATTCTTTGTTTTCCAAAAGTTAGAATTATGTTCTCTTTAGAGAATAGCTTAAATCGAATGCCATATAACCCTGACCCTGATCCTCTGTGCAAAATGCTGTTGTAATTTTGAAATACCTCTTAAATGCTATGCTATGTAAAACTCCTTCGTGTTTGTACGTACAGGCTTTAAAATATCCAGCAATTGGCAGTATTTTATGATGGAGTCGTGGTCACACCATATTGTCACACCTCACACCAGTGTGGCTAAAATAATTTTTTTCTTGATTGTCACATTGGTAAAATTTTCTATTACACCATCTTTCTTTTTTGTTTAGGTAAAAATGATAATTTTGTAATTGAATTTTGTTGAATCACATCCTATAATATTGGTGTCTATTCTTTGCCTTTTGATGCTTTCCTTACCTACATTTTATTACAAAATTATAAATTTCTACGAACGCCACGAACATAAAGCTGGAAACTGAAAACGTAAACATTTACTTCTCAGTACCGTAAAGTTATTTATATCATTGTTAGCATTTCATGCAAATTGTTTTATTTCTGACTAATTAATACATCGTCACGCAGCCATTCTAAATGTTTGTTTGTTTATTTTCAATTTAATTATTAATTGTTAGTATTCAGTAGTCCTTTTTAAGGTTATTGAGACGTAAAGCGTTAAGATTGTTTAAATATTATTAATACACCTATATAATATACAACTTCAATGGTTATTTTGAAACTTTTTTACGTATAACCAGTTCTTCCCCGCAGTTTTACCTGCGTTTTAAGGTACATATCCACGCGGAGCTGGGTGGAGTGGAGAGGAGCGAACTGTGAATTAGCCATTCACATTGCTCAAAATCTCCACTCCGCGTCAGTATAAACAGTGTAACTGGAGTAGAGTGGAGCTGAGTGGACTTTTAAATAAAAGAAAAGATAAGAACATGCGGCCCGAGCCGGACAAAACGGGGTCGAGAAGGCTGCGGTGCAGAGCGAAGGGTACGAAACGGAGCGTAGCTGGACGGTGCGGCGCGGCGGCTAAGGTAGACTAGATCAGAATCAATGTTTTCTTTTTGAGTCCAATAATATGTGGCAAACAGTTATTTGGGAATCTTGTATAAGGTCATCATCATCATTAGTCTATCGCAGTCTATTTGTGGACATAGGCCTCTCCAATCGCACGCTACTTAGATCGATCTTCGCATCTAGCTTCTGGCACGTACTAGCCGAGACGTGGTCTCCAATCAGGAACTCGTTTACCCCAACGGTCAGCCGTTCTGCGGCTAATATGGCCAGCCCACTGCTACTTCAGCTTGCTAATCTGGTGGGTTGTCGATGACCTTGGTTCTCTGCCGAATTCCCTCATTTCTGATGCGATCCCTTAGAAAACACGAGCATAGCTCTTTACATAGCAAGCTGAACGATTTTTAAACATAATTAATTACATATTATTTTATAAGGTGTCTACAAAAGGTGAATCGGGTTCAGCCTGATGAAAGAACTCAATTATTGGATTGAAAAGTCAGTCGTATGGGTTTAATTGGATCCAGCCTAGTTACGAAGTTATAATTTAGTAGGCGGGATAGGTACTTGTACCGGGTGTGTAATATTTGGCATAATAACAAATAGTATATGTGTAATGCTTTAAAAACAAATAACCCAATTTCATGTGATCTAATGCTATATTTCATAACCTTCATTTGCTGTAATAACATTATAATAATAATATTTAATAAAGAAACATTTTTCCTAAAAGCGTGGTTTTAGTATTTTACTTTTAATCAATAACATATAAACAGCAACTGACATCTAGTACCCCATGCTTTTTTAACGATAAAATGTTTTCTTTCTTAATCACATCCTAGATTCTATACTTATTTTCAATTCATCTCTATTACAAATCTATTTTCTATAAAAAGATTTTAGACATGTAGAATTACCGAAAAATGCCTGAAAAAGCTGGAACATTGCTATTGCAGCAATGAAAATGTTTTATTAAAGATTCAACTATCAGGTATTGATTGCAATAAAAATTATAACAAAAATTTTCAGCTAAGGTGCCAAAAAAATGTCAGCGGTAAAAACCAGTTTTTCGCGTCTGGAGCGAAAACTAAAGCTCCTACGAAAATAAGTTGAATGTTACAAACAAAGAGAATGCACCCCTAGAGAGCAAAATCGGACCATCAGATCGCCCGAAATTTGCAGTAGACCACGTTTTTTTGCAAAACTTGGAAAAATTCATAACTTGCGTTCGGGAAGTGGCAGGGAGTTGAAATTTGGATATTTTGTCAGTATTATATTCTTGTAAACTACATGAGCGTTTTCTTAGTTTCACGGGTAAAAGTTTTTTATGCGGTGTAGTGTTCTGAGGATGCCGGTAACCCAGACTGGCATAGACAGTCGAGTTCTAAGCCTATCAGCATTTCACCGAGAGAATACTGGGACCACTTTAGAGTAGAATTAGAACAGCTCTACTCCATCACTGCTTTACTATGTAGAAACGGACTCCCCTTCTAAGCCTAGGTCTTTCATCGTTCGACAAACAGGTATAGTGGTACGATTTAAATTTATTTTAAAAAGCGTCTCGAGATTGACTCTGTTCATCGAACCTTGACTGCAGATTATTATGGCCTGACTCTTTGTCGGATTAAGGGATTACCCAAAACTTTCAGACCAGACTAGACATATCTCGTTAATGCCTTTTTGTTTAATCTGAGGTAGTATTATATCAAATTTATATAGATATATATCATCAACTTCGGTTGACAACAAAATGACTAAGAGTAGATAGGTCAGGTATTCAATAGTATGGGAGTGTTTATGTGAAGAATGGAATAGAGCAAACCATATCTACATACACACATACGTGCATGAATATCTACACGTCTTTTCATGACGGCAACTTCATTTTTAGTCAAGGCTTGTTCTCGAATCTAGAATCGTCAAAAGTAATAACTACTTATACCTAGTAACTACTTATATCTAGGCTACTAGGCTCCTTAGACGTATATCTAAACCGTCTAAAACAATTGGAAAGTTAAAAACACCCACCATAGAGAAACTAGCGAACATTGCACAGCAATAAAATTAAGGTCAGTTTTATTACCGCTTCTATGAGCATTTGTCTATGTTTTCAAATAAGAAAAATGTTTGTAACTGTATCCATATTATACGGATACATTTACAAAAAAATGTATCCTAGTTTGTTTAAGAGTCTTCCAGAACTAATAGTATAGGTTATGCTCAATTTGGGTGTTGAGAGCGTCCAAAGTATTCTTATTAGATACAAAAAAAAATTAACACTAACGATATTATTTTATCATTTCGCATAGCATTTTATATTCCCTTGTGAAAAGATCTGTTATTGTTATCGCGTTGTAATTTTGCTTACTGGCTTGATACCTATCTTTCTCTAAATATTCCCAAGCTCACCCTACCTACCTACCTTCCGGGAACAATTCGTTTGACGACAGATGTACCACGAACAAATACATACACCGCGATACGCCCCGCTGCGCCGCGCTTTGTAGGGCTTCAGAATATACATACATGACAGATAGGATACAAATAAAGGAATGGTCCTATTCAAATCTCTGAATAGATTTATAACGAGGGGCATATGATTTGTGTACGAGTACTTCAATTGTATCACGCACTAATGTAATACAGTCAATGTAATCCAACGGTATCTATAGTAATATTTAAATGCGTATCTGAGTTGGTTTGTTCTTTACAGAAAGAAAAAAATTGTACGTGTTACAAATTTAGAAGTTACATGAAAACGATTATATAAAGGCTACTAGCATCCAGTATATATAATATCCATACTTATATTACAAATGTGATAATTTTGTTTGTTTTTTGTAACGCTGTCACACCTAAACCACTGAACCGATTTCGAAAATTCTTTCAACAATGGAAAGCTACATTGTCAGCGAGTAACAGCTACTTTTTAGCGCGATAACCGACATACACGCAGGCGGAGCCACGGGCAAACGATAGTTTATAATATGTGATGACCTTTTATGTTACGACATTTCAAGGGAGGTAT